AAAGACAGTGTCACCAGGAAGCGGCACTCCTAACTCCTTTAGTATCCTGCGAATAGTAAAAGCAACATGAAATCTTAGGAAAGGAATATGGAGCATATCCGCGGCTATACCACATCCTTTAGTAGCAGCCCAGACAGCAAAGTTTAACTGCTGCGGCCAATATCGCATGCTGGGGCCTGATAACCATTCTCTGGACTCCTTTCCTGATGTGTGCTTCATGGCAGTTTCTCTGAAGATGTCTCTTACTTTTGTCTTGAAGGTCGTAGGACCCACGGGGATTTCTAAGGAGGTAACCATCTTAGCAAAGTCCTCCGCTCCGCCTTTGTTATCGTAAAATGGATAATCCTCTGCTGTCGTTAATAAATTCTTTGGAAAATTGGGTTGCGGCTTTGAGTGTGGCAAAATTTTAGGATGCTTGGCGGTCGCCTTTGGTTCCAAGTCTGCATTGCTGTACATCTTAGATCCCTGATAGTAAATACCGTCAGGACTACGCTCGAACTTACTGGCGTCTGCATGCGGAAACATCTTCCTGAAGGCCCTCCAGTTAGCATAATCCCTGTTGTCATGATGTGGCTGCTCCTCGATGTCATTCCCAAAAGCGTCGTACATTAGTATATATAATGGATGTTATACCATCAGCACCTCCACTTTATCCTGAACTTCCTAAGGAACCTAACGAATTGAATGCCGAGAACTTCCGCTTGAATAAAGCGAATTTAATACTGGCTTACTTGGAAGGACAGACAAAACACTACGAAAACTTCAGAAAGAAATACGTCAGAGCCCGGAGTACGCTACATAAGATTGCGATAACTTCAGGATCCATATCTGTTGTGTTAACGGGCTCCGGCGTCGCTACTTCCCTTACAGGCCCTGGAATAGTTGTTGGAGTTCCTTTAGCCGGCGTGGGAGCCGTCTGTGGTATCATTTCGGCTGTTGCTACGGGCATTATGAAACAGTTGTCAAGCAAAATATCCAAGCATGACACGACAATAGCTCTGTCTAGGGCTAAAGTAAATACGATTACTGACCTTGTCTCAAAGACTTTGCGTGACCGTAAGATAGATGATGTAGAATTCTCGCTTATCTTAGCCGAAGAGGAAAAATACGAAAAGCTTAAGTCTGACATCAGGAACAAAAAAACAATCGTCAAAGATTTGTCCGAGGAAACACGCAAGAAGATCTACCAAAAAGCAAAGGAAGAGCTTCAAAGAAAACTCACTCAATAAATATTTGTTTTGAAAAAAGCGAGACAGGATTTAATTTACATATCGAACGCCAGCTGTCTGGTTCATATGCAAATTAGAGTGTAAGACATAAATATAATAATTTTCACATACATAAGTGTCCTGTGTGTTTGGCGTTCGCTTGTGTTCGTGGACTTTGGATCTGGGGAGGCCCAGAGTCCCGAGTTCAAGCCTCGCTCAAACACATTTGGACCGGTTGCTGTGGGTGAAAAAAAAGCCTCCCCCACTCACAGCAACCGTGGGAGGGGTGGGTAAGAAAAGATAGAAAGTGCGATTCAACCCCGCGATGGGGGGTTTCGCGA